TAATATGCGTAATAATATTGATAATAATAGAAATAATAAGGATAATGATGATAAAAGTAGTAATATGCGTAATAATATTGATAATAATAAGAGTAGTAAGTATAATTACAGTTCCAGTAATAATAATAGTCGTAATATGGATAATAATATATATTATATTCTTAATAGTACGAGTAATACGGATAATAATAATAGCTCTAACCATAATAACAATAGTAGTATGAGTAATAATATGTTCTACTGAAAATAAAAAGAGTAATAAGGATAATTACTCTTATAATAGAGTAATTACTGTCCAGTAATTGGGGAATAATGTGTGTTAGGTCTCCAAACCTAACCTTAGGCCCTGACCTAACATAATCCGACCTTACCCTGGGCCCTGACCCAACCTAATGTAACTTAACCCTAGGCCCTGACCTAACCTAATATGACGTAACTCTAAGCCCTGACCTAACATAATATGACCTAACCTGACTGATGGAATATTGAACATTATTTAATTTAAAATACCAGAAAACACAATAACGTTTGAAAGACTAAATGAATTTACTATTTTGGAAATGCAACTGTGAAGCTAAATGAACTTTAATGAAGAACTTCTTTAACACTCACTTTAAAGAACTTATTTTAAAGAAGTTCATTAAACTTCATTAAACTTTATGGTCGTTTTTCTTAAATAATAAATTCATTTAGGCTTATTGTATTTAAAACGTTTTTCTGTTTTGTTTTATTTTAAATATAATAATCTTCCATATTCCATCAGTCATGTTAGATTAGGTTAGGGTGGGGTTAGATTAGGTCAGAAAATACTAAATAACAATAATGGATTTGGGAATCTAATCTTACCTGAAACGCAGAAATTTGTGGGATAGGATTTCTAAAAATTAGTAGAAATGGGAAATGGTGTCATCTTTTCGTCCATTATAATTTTCGGATCCAAAGATTTCAACCTTGTAAATTTATTTCGGTAATATTTAGAATTTAACGTCATAAAAATTCTCAGAAGTGGCATGTTGTGTCACCTCCTCGCGTGTTATACTCTCCTGGTGTAACGTTTCAGATTTTGATTCTCATATTTTGCGAAGAATTTCGTGTGTAAAATGAAAAAAAAATAGTTTCTCGCCACCTAGCGGCGTGTAAACCATAGAAATGGGAAAATCAACAGTGGGAACTCAAGCGGAAAATGTAATATAATAATACAAAGAGAATATAGGGCCCTATTGGGCCCTATTGTATTCTTGTGTAAATACACATACTGATAAATATAATCAACGTTGCGTGCGTCATGATGCGCGTCTACATTTTCCTCCGTAAAGAGTTTTGTAAAATCGCGCGCAAACACCAATCAGTGTGCCAATCAGTGATGAGATATGGGCTGGGTTTTTTCGCGCATGCGCGGCAATTTTAGTCTCAGTGAAGTATAAGTTTCAATAAAATAGGGTATCTCAATCACCCCTCATTATTTTTCAAAAATTTTTATAATTTGATTGTGAAATATGAATGTATAGGTTGGATATGATTACATTATATACATACTTTCATATTTGAGGAGCAGATGGAAAGGAAAGGTACTAAAATAACTGTAAGCAAAATATATAATAAAGCCATCTAGTGGCGCCACTAAATACATACGCTGCGTACGCTCTTGCATTTCTCGCGCATGCGCGAAAAGACCCGACCCATATCTCATCACTGGTGCCAATGCGCATGCGTGGCTAAACAAGAATACAAAGGATTTTATAACCTGGTAAATTATAAAATTAAATGATTCTGTTATTTTTTTCACTTATTAATATGCATGTACATAACGTTTAACAGTAAATATATTTTGACTTATACGGTTTGGTATGATTAACGTATAAATTACGATAGATACTAAACCAATCATAATTCAGCTTTCAAATTTTATATTTCAAACTTTACAGCAAGCGGAAGGAACCGTATGAACCTATTTTAAAAAATCAAACGGTTATATTTGAATTTTTTCTTCGTTTTGAAGAAACAAATAAATGTATGTTAGCAGTTAAACAATTTTTGTTTAACAATATAGATTTATTTAAACTAAAATGTATAGCTAGAAACTGCGCACATCAGTTGATCGTACAATAAAAGATCTAAAATAGCCAGGTTAGTTCTTTTGGATTAGAGTGATCCATCATTGACATCAGATCTCCACGTTCGTCCATCGATAATTGCGTTAATTTTGTATTAAAAGCTGGATTTGTTTTCATTTGCTGAAGTAATCGTTCTGCAGGTATTCTGAAATGAAAGTACATATTTTACATTGGTTATATAATTTCACGTAATCTTTCCACGAAATGAGAAGTTTTTTATTTTTAATTACAGAGATACATACCCTTGTGGAAAATACTGTAAAAGCATGGATAAAAGTCGTTCGCGTTTGTTAAACTTTGGAACGTCAACAATACTTTGTCTTTTTCCGAAACCGTATGCCGTGGACATGTATTCCGGTTTGAAGCCTCGAATTACCCGTGGTCTTGCATGATGTTTTACGAAATGAGAATAATTGTGATTTTTCGATGACACCACGACAATTCCAGTGGCAAACGCCAAAACCACAATAATGCTAGCTCGCATGATTTGCTAATGTCAGTAAAACATATGTTCAATTATATTTGAGAAATTGCTACATTTCATACAAACACATTTAATCACGATTTATATATAAGTCTTACATAAAAAGAACAAATTAATAAAATCGTGAATGAACTATTCGGAAAATGTTTATACACGTATTTTTAATACAAATTATTTTCATAGTTATATACGTAACTCCTATTAATTTGTTCCTCTTTATTTTTATAAAACTGAATTTCATAGAGACAAAATAATAAAATATACTATTTTTGAAGGATTAAAGAATAGTAATATTCATATAATTTCGTCTCTATTTTTTAATAGTATGATGAACTTCTTAGGAAAGCATACACGATCGCAAAATAGTTCTTTGTTACCCAACAAAAATTTTATTTAAGATTTATACATACCACGACGACGTATTAATTGTAAACGCAACATTATTAATATTAGTTAAAATGAAAAATGTAATTTACGACCTGATTAACGATGATCGGTGCAATGTATAAAAAATTGTTATACTTTTAAACATTGTTAAATTATTATTATATACACTTTCAAATGCACATTTTATCATCACGACGTTATTTAAAGTCCTTTATAAAGTAGGAACGAAATGTTATGTTACATGCACGCATGAACAAGGAAGACTCCACCGGGAGTTTATCGCAGCCTCTTTTGTACTAAATCGCCGGCATCGCCGTCGTAGCCGCCGTTGTGGCCGCCGTCGTGGCCGCCGTCCTAGCCGCCGTCGTCG